AGGATGGATATTTTATGTTGAATGTCGTACGTTGACCCATAGATGCTCGTATTTACGTCATATGGTCTCTGGTGGATAGTTGTCTCATAGGAATCATTCCACAACTCCTTATTTTGTATGCAATTGATTCAAAAACAATGAATACAATTGGAAATCATATTAAACGAGTGTTTGAAACACTTTGAAAATGTATATAAAAAATGTAAGTTTTTCGCTTAATTTTTGCCTCGGTGTTTTATTCACTACTGTTGTATGCATAACAGTTTTTTTTTGGCATTCAATGACACCAATAATTTGATAAGCATATAACAAATTAATACATAGATACAAATGTATTTGGAAAATCAACATTGATTTATTGGTGTTTATCGCCACTTTCAGCACTATTGTACTGTTAAGTGGCGGTTAATGTTTATTCTTGGAGAAAGCCGGAGAAACAGTGAAAAAGATAGTTAAATAGTTTCATTTTAAACTACTAGCCTACCAAGAATATGAATCCTCTTGATGGGAAAACATTTCGCCATCACGAAATTGACAAGGTTGAACATAAACAACAAACAAATAAACATGTAACAACACTGAGAGTGATATTTATTTTTGCTTTTCAGAAAATTCTGTGACAAATAGTTCATGCATATATATAGGACGATAACGAATTTAACAATAAGATTAATTTGTCGAAACTTTTTATCCTCCTTGCTCTTTAACATCGTACTTTATTTGGTCTTTTAACTTTTTAGATTCGAGCGCGTCTGGCGTACAACATTATTAGCCTGGTATCTTGGATGAGTTTTTTGGTTGCAATGTAGATCGTCAGGTATAAAGACCATTGGAACAAATTGGAATGCTAGATATGTGCCGAACATTTGATTATGATAAAAATAAGGAGATGTGGTATGATTGCCAATGAGACAACTATCCACCAGAGTTCGCAAGAGGTGGATGTAAGCAATTTTAGGCCACCATCTGGCCTTCAACAATGACAAAAAAAAACAATACCTAGTGAGTTAAACAATATAGGTTAAATACGGGCTCTTTTACAAGTTATTATTTACGCAAATGTTTCTCTTATTTGCCAAAATAATGACACTCGAAAAATACGAAGCGTCGAATTAACCCTCCACATTCTGACCAGACATGACTGACTTTTTATCTTTTGGCATAGATTAATTCGAAACAGAACAATACTTTCACTATACTCAATCTTTGTTTTAAGTTCAAACGAAGAATTGTAACAAAATGTAAAAGTTAACTAAAAACCTCAATTTAAAAAAGTGCACGACATAAATTCACGTATTGAAGATACAGTATTTATCAATAATACCGTTAAAACACCCATGTACCGTTATATATATAGCCCTGTTAATAATAGACTTCATGAAGTCCAATCCTGCCGCTATGTGAAAATGACGAGAGAAAATACACCTGCTCAGATACCTGACCTTAATCCTATTTTCGGTAAGTCGCGTCAAACGAAATGTCGTATAGGGAGAATATATATTATGTGTAAAGGGAACTCTTAAACGGTTAATGAGTTTGATAAAAGGATATTTGTGGTATAAAATGTGACAAATATAAAATCATCTTTATCACGAACGCTATGAGCTATATGATCACAAGGGGACACAAAAAGAGTAGCCAAATTTAATAAAGGTCAAAATTTTCAGAGGGAATCGGAATCTAAGGATCTTATTATTTCTTTATTTCTTCACGAATTTTTAAATGCATGTTTTAAATCATGTCAGCGCCGAAACACTGATTATCTGGCTGGCGATACCCAGGAGACTTACCGTCCACCATCAGCGGTAGCGATGACTCCGAGCTAGAACATGACAATAACACTTTATATTTGGATTTTCTAGATTTTCTTGATAAGGAACGCTCAAATTCAAAAATTTGAAAAAAAATTGCTGTATGAATGCTCATTGAGCCATATGACAAAACGAATAGTCAAAACCCATCTAAGGTCAACTTTGTGGGAACTTGAACCCTATAAACAAATATTAATAGACTATTTTCATATTACCGAATTTTGAATCCGGAATTTATAATTTTCCGATAGGTTACCTACTCTGTGGTAGGACATCCTGGTACTCGGTCAAGCAAGAGCAACGCAAAAAAGTAAAATAAAGCTTTCATTCGGTACAATTTTTGGGGAAAATCAATTGTTTTATGTTTTCTATACACGACAAAATCATCGGACAACAGTAGACTTTCCACCCAAATTACACCGATTATATATTTGATTTTACTTGTTTTGGTTGCTCTTACTTGACCGAGTGCCAGGATGTCCTACCACAAATAGATCTATTCATTAACGATATATTTTGGAAATCTATGTTATACATGTAAATCATGTCAGTTCCGACTACTAAGCTGGTAATCCTTTCGGTAACTAAGTGGCCATCAGCAGCAGTATCGATATAGTAATAGAAAATAAAAAATATTTACTGTGTCAGAAGCGCATTTCTAGATTTAACTTCATCAGGAACACTCATATACAAACATTTGAAAGCCAGGCATTAATAAATACTTGACGAGCTTTATAATGAAAAGGGACACCAAAAGACCAACTACGATCAATTATGCCTGATAATTTAAAAAAGTTTTTAATAATTTCTTTTTTTATAAAGATATTTCTAGAAAAGTATATTGTAAATGATGTCAGTGCAGATGCATTGTCTACTGGGCGGACGATATTCACGTGGCTAAAATCACCAGCAGCAGTATCGAATAAGTGCTGCAAAAAAAAAAAAAACACTTTATACATTTGTTGCCTCCGGACGCTTTTCCTGATTTACCTTCACCATGAATGCACAAATAAAATAAAAACAAAAAAGCTAGGGATGTATGTAAAGAGATAAGCAATAAACTAGTTAATGTTTCTGTATCTTCAAGTATATTAGATTTGAATTGAAAAGAGTGAAGACCACTATAGCCTCTAATTGGTCGTGTTTTTTTTTCTAAAGTTCTTTGCCAAATTTAACCTTACAAATGTTTTGATTCGAAAAAATGCTTTGATTTCCGTTGATTACTATAATTTTGTCTTTTCTGATAATGTTCATAGAGTTTCACACCTTTGTATTATATCCTTTATATTTACTAACATCTGCATCTGTTTTGTCTTGTAGTTTTCTTAAGCATTTTTATCTTTTAGTATAATTGTGTTTTCATATTTTTGTTCTTCATTTTCTATTCCGTGATCATGTCTTATATAACATTTCATAGATAATCTTTTGCTGTAGAGTATCAGGTACATGATACTTATAAATAAGACATTTTATAAACAAAAATTTTAGAGTTTTATTGATACGCGTCCTTCGATTATCAACACTCTTTTTTATTGAGACATCAATTTTGTACTTATTTTCAATCATTATTTTTTTGTTCAACGAATTAAATATCTTTAAATATGGGAGTTTCGAACTTCTCCCTCATTTAACACTTCGTAGCGTCTATCAGTGATTGTTGGTGGATTAAAGTTTTAGGGTCAAGGGTGAATTTCCGTTATTGACAATCAATGATAGATATGAACCAATAAAATCAATGAACATTCTTATTTAATGAATGTCCAAACTATAAATGATTTTGTCCATGTTATTTCATTTTTTTGGCGCTGAGTTGATACCGCTGCTGGTGAACTGCTAGTCCTGGAGGGTATCACCAGCTCAGTAAGCAGTGCTTCAGGGTACTGACATGATTCATAACATAACTGTATTAAATTAAATTGTTGAACAATCTAGAAATTATCAAAAAATATAGTTTCAAACTCCTTATGGTAAATTTTACAAAACTTTGGTAATTTTTCAAAATGCTAAGGATTTTCTACCCCAGGACTAGATTACGTAAGTTATATTTGGCAAAACCTTTTGTAATTTTGGGTCCTCAATGCTCTTCAAATTTGTACGTTTTTTTTACCTTTTAATTTTTTTTTGATTTGAGCTTCTCTAATGAGTCTTTTGAAGACGAAACGAGCGTCTGGCGTAAACAAATTTAATTCTGGTATCAATGATGAGTTTATTTAGCTTAGAAGGTTTTGTCTATTCTTTGTATGTCCCTATTGGTCTTACATTTACTCACGTATTCAAGTTTTTATGCATCCGTCAAGAGGCCCTTTTTTCCGGTTTAATCGTTCCTGATGAAGGGTATGGATAAAGGTTAATCTTAAAAGGCGATTCGTGCATACCAATTGTAACGGTTGACCGTAATGGAATATCTGTTTTACAGATGTCGATGGATATGTTCAAATAGTCGTAACCCCAATCTGGTCCTCTTTTCCTCGAATGTAAATTTTGACTTATCACCGTATTTCTTATTGAGCAACACGACGGGTGCCACATGTGGAGCAGGATTTGCTTACCCTGAGATCATTCTCGGTGTTTGATGGGGTTCATGCTGCTCAGGCGTTTGTTTTCTATGTTGTGTTGTGTTTACTGTTATTTGTCTTTTGATCGTTTTTCGTTTTTTACCATGTCATTGTCAGTTTGTTTTCGACTTTTGAGTTTGATGATTCCTTTGGTAACCTCCGCCTCTCTTTTGTGTAATTATCATTATTACAAGATATGCACTATTTGAATAAACGTATTGCTTTATAAGTATTTAGAACTAATCAGAGCTTTCTTTCTACTGATAAACACCACTGCTGATTCATGAAGATAGTTCTACCTTAAATATATGTCGTGCGCTCAGAAATTGGTATTTACAATGTATTTGTACATTAATGCATGTACCCTCCGTTCAGTTATAACCATTACATGTACAATGGTAGCGAGAATTGTAGTAGGTAAAATGGCATGGTCGATGTTGAGGATACATATAAAAAGAAGATAAAAGTACTTCTTCTTCAATACTATTGTTTCTATTTAGATCAATGCAAACAAAAATTCCTATATAAAAAATGCCGGGTGAAAACAAATCATAGGATTTTAAAATAAAATTATTATTAACACGAGTATAATAGTTGTATAGTGGTACTTTGTGGTTAATATATATATCTTAAATAGCTGACGTAATTCAATGGAAAAAGTTTGAACATTAGGTATTCATTTAGAATGTAATAATAAGGTATGTGTTATTAGACTTGATTATGTATGTTTATTTGTAATCTGTTGACTTGGAGTCTTCTATTATGTTAACTTTATGGATTCTATTAAAACTTTTTATAACAAAACAATGTATGAATGTATGCAGTGTTATTTTTTTAAATGATTTCAAACAAAGGTTTTTGAAATATGTCACTTTTAAATTCAATTCCGTACAGTTATTACTATAGTATTGCCTAAACAACATTCTGTCTTTTGCATGAATTCTTTAAGTTGATATTTAATGTCAATTTTAATGTCTAAGTAAAAACAATATGCATAATTTGGTTTCGTTTTAAAAATGAATATAGGTTTTTCTATAGTTATTTATAAATCATAATGTTTAAGCTATTTATAAAGGTTTAAATATAAACACATGTCAATACGATTTGTTTTTTAAATCAAACATTTACTTTAAGTAATGTTCGGAAAGTCAAGTTATATTCTATTTGGTGAAAATCCTTGTAAAAAGAAAATCTATTATTTTGATTGCACTTTAAGGCAGTTTTTTTTATTCTGAACCATTAACCTGGTTTTAAACATTTTAAATCTATGGTTAACAGTTTTTTGACAGGTCGGTCTTAACCATGCGATTAAATGGTTAAAGAACAAAAGCATGTTTTAGATATTTTCAAAATGGTTTATAGCTTAAACATTTTTCCTCAACCGTTGCGTTTTTTTCCCTCCCTTTTAACATGTTTGTGGTTTAAGCTTAAACATGTTTCATGTTGTTTTTAACCAGTAACTAGTTTGAGTATAAAAAACAGGCCTTATAACGCAGTTCTATATATCTATACTAGCTACTAAAATAACGAGGTCCAATTTGTTAGCCGGCATGACGTAAAAACGACGAATCAAAGAATTCAACTATATAACTAATATAGGACAATGGTGTTGATTAAAAATTATACCATTCCAGGCCCTTTTGTTTTCCACATAATAAATATTGCCAATAATTATCAAGTTCCGGGTCGAATCCAATACCGATACCAAAAGTATATGTCACCTGTAACCTGTTACAAGTACCTAATCTGTACGTTCCGCCTCCGTCAGGCGCACCACCAAACGTTGTATTTGAGATTTGCCATATACACGGGTCATTATCACACATAAACTTCGTCATTATACAGGCATTGACACTACTAAATTCAATCATAGTCAAATGTAGTTTCCGGCTGTAGTAAGAAAACCAGGACGGGTTCAAACAGAAAGATTTTGAAAGCAGAAAAAACTGTGCACCTTATTATCAGCATGATGTCATCATATGACAATACGAATATTAAAAATCCTGGCTAAAATAAGGCGTATGTACTTTAATTCCGTCACGGACCCGCGGGGGTGTTCTAGTATAATTCAGCTGATCTGTAATATTCCATCTTCATGCCTTATATATCATGTACTGTGTCACGACGCTAGATAAAAACTGACGAGGAAAGGTAACACCCGGCCACCGAAAGCTTAAATTTGTCGAGCCTAGGTGGTCGAGTGGTCTAGTGCGTCGGGCATAGTGCTAGGCGATTTTGTGCTACGATATCTCAGTAGCATGAGTTCGAATCCCGGCCAGGGAAGAACAAAAAATTTTCTTCCGCAAAATTTACAGATCTAACATTGTTGGGCTGTTATTTAGACGAATTATATATATATACATATATATATATATTGCATGCACACGTATAAAAATTGCGGTTTTTATCCAATGCAATCATGGGTTTGAACGTTGTTTTCAATTTAGACTTGAATTTTTTTCGTTTGGGCTTGAATTATATTTTCCTTCAGGTTTATATGATCCGTTCATCCTATTTTGACTCTTTCAAAATTCAAGAGTCTATCCTAAATTGAGGTAAATTATATGGCCTTCCAAATACCGTTTCGATTCCTAACATCACTATATATATATATATGTATAATGCATCATATGCATTATACATATATATATATATGACATTAGTTCAAACATAATTTATTTTCTAAAATGTACAGAAGCGATCTGATAAAAACATGAGAAAGTAATTGGCTTTGAACTAGCTTTTAGTAACTGCGAGCACTCTTACATCAGTGCCTTGTGTCTGCTGCTGTTATGTTACTTGTTTTTGTGCTTCTCATCGTTCTATTGAGTAAAGTCATTTGCAACTGATTTTTACAGTTTGTTTTTTAAAATTTGTTGTGCTGTTATACCACCGACTATACGGTATCACTATGGGTTTTGCTCATTGTTGAAGGACGAACGGTTGCCTATAATTACCTACACCCATGTCATTTGAACTCTAAAGAATAGTTGTCTCATAGGCAATCATACCACATCTCCTTATTTCTTTTTAACCCCGCTATTTTCTGCATGTGCATGACCAAAGCCAGAAACCCGTATTTCGGTAGTTGCAGTTGGTTGCTGTTCATCATAATTGTTTTTCGTTTTTTTGTAGTTTAACTCAGGCTGCTGATGTTTTCATTTGATATTCCGGGCCTTGTATACCTTACTATACGGTATAATCTATTTTCTCATTGTTAACGGCCTAACAATTAGTCTATAAGCCTTTTTGTTTTTCTTTGTTGACATATTTGTTTGTTTTTATAGTGATTTAGATTATAACACAATAATGACTGCTGTACCCTTATTTTTGAAATTTTTACCTATTATGTATGTTTGTTTTGTTCACACATTGTTGTCAATATACATGTAATGGAATTTAATGCGACTGTCATATCAGTGAGAGGTTTAGCTAGCTATAAAACCAGGTTTAATACACCATTTTCTACATCAGAAAATGCCTGTACTAAGTCACGGTGGTCAGGAATATGACACTTATTAATGTGGTATAAAATTCGATACCACTTTCAGTAGATCTTGCAATGACTTTGTTCACATAGTTATTATTTATATATGTATACCCAATAAAATATTTCGAGAAGTGGGGGGATTGCCTCCCCTGACTCACTGCAACAACGTATGATCTATGAATTTATCAGAAAATTATATACTATCATTTTATTTAATCCATCATGAATTGGAAAGGATTTGTATAGGCACTGCCTTTTGTCCAATCCCTTTGTTAAAATGTACATTTGTCATGATTTGATATTTGAACAATAAAATATTTTGAATAGTGAATAGGAATATGACAGTTATTATCCATTCGTTCGATGTGTTTGAGCTTTTGATTTTCCCATTTGATAGGTACTTTCCGATTTGAATTTTCGTCGGAGTTCGGTATTTTTGTTATTTTACTTTTTACTTATAATTGTTCACATCTTTGACTGTTGGTTTTAATGGGTAGTTGTCTCATTGGCAATAATACAACATCTCCATATCTTATAAAGGAATGTTTTACTTATTTAAATTTAACAAGGTTTTTTGACGGATTGCAGGCTTAAAATGAGTGGAAAAGATGTATGCCTTGTTACCGGAACAGCTGCAGTTTGTGGAATATTTTGGTATTTCTGGACTAAACGACAAGCAGGTATTTATTTATGTATATGATTACAAGCTATATATATACAACGAATACCTTAGATTTATTTTGTTATGTTTTTTTTTCGGAGTAAGTTGTGGGGTGTAGATCGGGGTTCTTTCGCACATCTTAGCAACACAGATATATATTATTTTGGCTTTGGCTATACTTTTTGATAAAAAGCTTTTTATTTTTATAAATACGTTTTGGATTTTCAAATATATTGTCTTTGAGCATCACTGAAGAGACATTTGTTGTCGAAATGCGGACCTGGTGAAGACACATTGGTACCGTTAATGTTATTGATTGGTTGGAATAAATCCACATTTTATACATCCTACCCGGTTTAGGAGACTCGGTGCAAGTGGTCCAAGTAGAACTACTGTATCAATAGCCTGTCAACACTGAGGTTGTGAGTTCGAATCTCGCACGTGGCAATTGCGCTCAACTCCAATTATCTTAATTGACTAGGATTGTCAGTTTTCCTACCGAAGATCGGTTGTTCTTTCTAAGCACTCCGGCTTTCTCCACCAATAAAAACTGACCGCCACGATATAGAACAATAGTGTTGAAAGTAGTGTTGAATACCAATAAATCAATCAATCAATCCAACCCGGTTTGACCCTTTACTAGGTTATTTTTTTGCATGAACATTCGTCGTATTTTTTGTTATATTTTTTCTGTTCGCATCAATGAGTTCAATTTGATGACTACCATGACATGCGTTTATACGTCATACATGTACATGTACATGTAATTTAATGTAATATAGCTGGGACTATTATACTAATCCGCTATCGGGACAATGAAATCTCAACAGACCGATCAGTTTCCAGTCCCGTTAGTATAATAGTCCCAGAATATATATCGTATCTTTTCAAGTAAAATATATTTCATTATTGTTTGACAGCTACCCCTGCTTCATTGCCACAATCAGATTCATCGAGTTGTACCAGTGCACAACACTTACTCGGGAATGCAGAAGAATACGCACGTCTTAGTAAGTTACAGTTCGTTTTATATATATGCCGTTTTTGCTACAGTTTACACGTCAAAAAAAAAACAACACAATCCTATATAAAAAAAAAAGGAAAAAAAAAAGAAGTCTCTTTAGATTGTTTATGCCCCAGCCGTAGCGGAAGGGGCATTGATTTTTTCCCTTGTTCATCTGTACGTACGTCCTTTCGTACGTCCGTACGTCCCGAAATTGGTTTCCGTTCTCTAACTTTAGTTTGCCTCAACCATATGTTATGAAACGTATACACAATGTTTCTAATCACAAAACACAGATCAAATTTGAATTTTGGTGGCGTTAATTTTAACTTTCTAGAATTATGCCCCTTTACAAAATTGAAAAATTGCTGGGTTTTTTTTTATTTTCGTTCTCTAAATTAATTTTGCCCTCAACCAAATGTTAAGAAAATTAGACACAATGCTTATTACCACAAAATACAGATCACGATTGAATTTTTTCTCATTACCACAAAAACACAGATCACGATTGAATGTTTGAGGCGTCACTTTTACCATTCTAGAGTTATGCCCTTTTACAAATGGAGAAATTGCTGAATTTTTCGTTTCCGTTCTCTAACTTAAGTTTGCCCCAACCAAATGTTATGAAACTTATACACAATGCTTATTACCACAGCACTCAGATCAAGCACGAATTTGGGTAGCGTCACTTTTACCGTTCTTGAGTTATGTTCCTTTAGAACGTTATGTGCAAACGGGGACATCATCTGTGTCCCATGGACACATTCCCCATTTATTTACATGTATATACCTGTAAAGGATTATGTACCAGTATAACGGCAAAAGAATGCATTGTAATACTGTTAACCAAATTAGTAAAACGTCGGTATATCGAACTTATGTTCGCAATTTCTGCACGTGTACAGTTGTAGGAATATTTAATTTGCCCAGGCATGATTTTAAGGCAAAGAAAAATTGTAACATTCTATATTTGAACCTAAATACAGCTTTAATTTGTTTACCCTAAATATGATTGACAGTGGCGTAGCTTGCCTTATTGTTATTACCGAGGCAAGGGGGGGGGGGGGTCTAGGGGGCGCAGCCCCCAGAAGCTATCGAGGTTTTTACAATTAGAACAAGAAGAATCTATCAAAAATAATAGTTGTTGTTTATTTTTATTTCATCATAATAATGTTAATATGCCTTGCACTAAGTTATTCTACCGATTTATTAGTTGATTACTGGTACTTGCATCATTTTCAATGTTCAGATGAATACATAAATCTTCTCGAAAACATTTACCACTTTTCAAATCGAATCCTTTCAGTGAAATTCCCAGATTTAAAATTTTGCCAGAAGAAATCTATACAGAATTTTCAATACAGAAAAACAAACGCAACGATTAAGGTTTATTGAAAGACATGTTGGAATGCAATATACATTGATGAGGATCATATGTTGTTCTTTAGGTTTCTTTTGGTCTTTTGGGTTGTTCGGTTTCTGTCTCATTTACATATCCTTTTCTGTTTCTTTTGTTCATATTCCTTTTCCAAAAACACATACCCTTTGCTAAATTTTTTCCTAGATACAAAGATTTGGTTTGCAAGTTTGATTGTACCTGTAGAAAACTTACTTCAAACATCTTTTACGATGATGTTGTTTAGTACTCTCAGATCTGTATTTTTTGTCTCTTTTGTTTTTAGGGATGTATAAATAACCTGCAACGTCCGGTCTGTGTTTTTTTTAGATGTTTTTTTTTTGCTTTGTATTCATCTGATGAGTTAAGCCCTTTTTCAACCGCTTTTTATAGCTTGTTTTTATTTTGTACTGTTACACCACTGTCCCATGTTGGGGGAAGGTTGGAGCCTTCAAACATGTTTAACCCCGCCACATTGTATATGTCCGTGTCCAAATTCAGGAGCCTATAGCTAAGTGGTTTTCGTTGGTTCATGTCTGTCATATTTGTTTTTCGCTTATTGTTATGTTATAAATTAGTCCGTTAGTGTTTTCAATTGAATTGATTCATATTTTTTATGTCAAGGTCTTTCATAGCCGACTATACGGTATGGGGTTTTCTCTTTGGCAGTACGGTTGCCTATAATATCTTACATCCACTTCATTTCAACTGTGGTGGATAATGTTCTCATTGGCAATCATACCACATCTCCTTATTTTTATAAAGAACTAGAACACACTGGCGTCATCGCGGATATGTGACTGAATTAAAGTACATACGCCTTATTTTTAGCCTGGATTTTTAGTATTCGTATTTTCATTGTCATGCTGATTATAAGGTGTGCAGTTTTCTCGGCTTTCAAAATCTTTCTGTTGGAACCCGTCCTAGCTTTCTTACTACAGTATGACCTTAAAACAACTGGTTTCCCGTTTGTTGCCATGACATTTGTGCGGCATCCGGGGTTACCTTATTCCTTATTTTTTTTATTTAATTGTTTTTATATTTTGCATTTTTCATATTTTGAGAATGAGCGAATCAGGTAAGTGTTTGTTCGTGTGTTTTATTGCATTGTTCTTATTGTTTTGGGGAAGGTTAACTTTCTGGTAGTAAGACCCGTCACGGCCAGGCTGGGAAACTGTTTAGGCAAATGCTCACATCAAATCTGTACCGATACAGTATGTTAAATGTCCTCCATACACCATAACCCATGGTGGTGCTCCTAATAAAGTAGGAGGATACAGAACATACATGTACATACATACAACCGGAAACTACATGTGGCATATACTATTGGTATCGGCATCGGAATAGACCCGGAACTTGATAATTAATGGTAATATCAATTATGTGCTGGAAAAAAGGCCTGAATGGTGTAATTTATAATCAACACCATTGTCCTATATATTAGTTATTTATAAAGTTTAACTCTTTGATTCGTCGTTTTTACGTCATGCCGGCTAACAAATTGGACCTCGTTATTTTAGTATTATAGATATATTTCCAGACAATATATTCAACACCGCAGATTATTTATACATGTTATACGTTAAACAAAAATGTACATGATATACGTGTTCAAGAGATATGTCATCTTATTTGCAGACTCTATTACTACCAGCAAAAGTGAAGAACAGCAAATATCCAGTTTGAGTAAGTTTATTTATTTAGGAATATTTGTTATACGTGTGATAAAATGTTTGCCTTTGGTTATAATGAACGTTAATTTCTATGATTTGAAAAAGCAAATATAGAATTTTGATATCATTCATTTTTCAAATTTCAGTCCTGTACCAAGTCAGGAATATGACAGTTGTTATCCATTCGTTTGATGTGTTTGAGCCTTTGATTTTGCCATTTGGTTAGGGACTCTCCGTTTTGAATTTTCCTCGGAGTTCGGCATTTTTGTTATTTTACTTTAAAAGTAATTTTTCGAAAAATATCTTTATAACAATGAAATTGTGATTTTTCTGGTAGGACTTCGATCAGTTTGTATGTAATATATTCCTTGCTGGCTGTGGTTGAGGTATTTAAAAATGTTCTACCTAGAGTTAGTTAATACAATGACAATTGATTTAATTGTTTTATTCTTTGATTTTATTAAGACAATTTATATATAGAGCACATTTTTAGAGATAAGATATTTGTGTTTTTAGCAAATGTCTAAACACAATACCATGACTGCGTAATTCAAACTACCGAATACAGTCTTTTATAAGTTGAAACGAGACCCTTTACTGCTTTTACGGGAAAACTCGCCTTGTCAAAATGACTTCAACAGCAAAATGAAGAGCACGGTTTTGGGATATCAATACAAATTTTGGATAATCCTCTTATTTTATTTAGACTCTTAAATATTTCAATTCTAATAGGTTCATTAGATGTTCATGCAACAAATTTTGGAGTTATTACCCCTGAAATATTTTTGTCTGCAAATTCTACAGTTTTTGCTTATTTCCTTGAAAACTATAAAAGTAAGGAGACGCGTTGTTATCACAGAATTACGAACACGACATCATCTTCAAATGAAACATACGAGGAACCGTTTGTCAGCTTTTAATTGGAGTTATTGTTCTTGAATAATAATTTTTACTCATTTTATCGTTTTTTCATTGACCATACTTTCAACTACTTCGATATATAAAGAGAAAGTGTAAAACAGCAACCATTATCACAAAAATAAAGTCTGCAAATGATTCAACATGATATGAATTGTTCGTCGACTCTTTATGTGGGTAATTGCCATTTAAGGACAATTTACGTATTCAGACCGACATGTGGAATAATCCTCAAACTCACTTTTGCTGAAATTAAAATTTAAAAAAAACCAACATTACAGGAAGTTATTTTCAGCAGCATCGTTTTTTACTAAAAAAAATAAATAGAAAATATACCATCTTAAGCGTTTTAAAAGTTTTATTATTATATGTAGGGATATCCTATAGGCTGTATTTGCTATTGGAATTGTAATAATGGTGATTTAAATTTTGCAATAACCAAACCTACTTAAAATGGTACAATAGAGAACTGACAGCTCTCATGCAATGGTAACAACCCAATGGCAGTAACATAAAGTAGGTTATTCAGATCTCATTACACATGTAAGGAAACTAAGCTTCAAACTAAAAGTTTTGGTTCTAAAGATGTTCCCATTGTTTTCAGATTGTAACGATTTGGAAGAAGACAGGGATCCAGTTGGTATGTATTAAAAGTGATTAAGTTAAAGTTCTCTTCCTTTGAAGTTGTCCATTATATTTTACACTTCTTTTCACCGAGAGAAATGCTTTTGTTAAAATAAAAATAAAAATTTTAAATAAGTAGTAGGTTATCTAAATAACAATATCAAAGGTCCATATGAACTTACCTTTGTGTTTATTATATTTTTATTCCAATATGATGTATATATAAAGATACATAATGTAACATAATCTTATAAAAGTAAATAAAGTGAACTTGATATTTAGGCGAGACTGTTAATTTATGCAGGTAAATCACACATGAAGTTCAATTATTCCTTGATGCAGATAAATTTGCTCAATTGAAAAAATTAATGATTATTTGTCGTTAAAAGGAGGACAGTGGTTTGATGCAGTAATTCTACATGCCTTAGAAGATGAAACGGCTGCAAGACTTTGCCAGCAAATTTTACTGGAACAAATCAATGTTCCAAACCTGCAAATTGGTTTACCGGATGATATAATTACACCCGGCACTTCAACCCTTGATGGATTAGGAAGTCTCATCTCAAATTGTAGACTTGTTATTATCTATCATTCTCGATTTCTGTCAATGGATGGTTTCATGCTGTTTGGGAAACAAGCTAATATAATTCAATCTTTAGAGGACCCACAGAAAAGGGACAGAATAATTCCATTTGTTGTTGACGGCGAGGATCTTTCAGTTGATATGTGCACCATTCAGCCGGTGAATTACATCGATGACATAAGAAGTGCAAACTTTCCCAGTTTTAAGAACAAAATGGAACGACTATTTTTAATGTGGAGGGAAAAAATAGCATAGAGGAAACTTTTTAAAAAACTTGAATAATACAAATTTGAATCAGTTTAGTTTTATAGAACAACTAACAAATTATTATATGCTAAGTCACTTTAAGATAAAACATGCAACTCCCTTTTTTCGTGATTACTATATATATATATATTTAGCGATTTTATCTTAAGCCATGTTTATTATTGTGGAAAGAAAACAGATGTTCTTTTGAAATTGGAGTTTATCAAATTTTCATTGGGTTGTATCTCAATTGCAGCTATGATTTCAATGTCTTTTAATCTAACAAAAAATCACTGTATTAGATATTCATTGATATCAATAAGATTCAGAAGCATTTGTTATATGTCTCAAAACATGCCCGAAAGTGTCTAAAACTGTTGTTGATAGTTTTATTCAAATGTTTAATATCAAACATGAAAAGGAAGGGAAGTTAAAAACAAAAATAAAGAATATATCAAAACAAACCATTTTATTTGTGAAAAATTTCTTCAAAATCAACATGATCAAAACGTGGAACTGAAGACTAATTTTACAATGCTAAATGATAGACATATTTAGGTAGATATGTTATTGTAGATACAATTGTATATTGCATATTTTCAATGCCATATACGATCTAAGGTATTATTCATTGTTTGTTATGAACTAGATTAGTAAATCATATAGAATGCTTCATTTGGGTAATAAGGTACTTACAATTCACTCGGAAATCCAACTTATACTCGCACGACACTAACACATATTGAACAACTTTGAATAATAATAATCTGTCTCATGTTTATATGGAACAAAAATCAAATAAATATGTGTCTCTGGAACAAACACCAAATAAATAGGTGGCTCTTTCTTTACACTACTTAATCATTACCTATACGACTGTTCCTTAAAAACGCTTTGTTGCTTCGTCTGCAAATGTTTCGCCAGAACTTCTTTCGAATTTTTTACAATTTTTATCAGCAATCTAATCCGGTTAACAGTGAATGATTATATAATCTTAGTCTTATTTTTACTATATTTTATAATCGATATCTTCCTTACACTTATACAATTAGTGAACTATTAGACCCCGAGGGTGATTAGTAGCCAGTAGATGCAGTTCTTCGGTATTGATATGAACATACGACTAATGATTGAATAAAACATGTAGTAGATTTTATTTTTGAAAATAAGTTGAGGAATATATATCCCCCAAACAAATGAAAGCTCTGACTTCTTGTCCAGATTTCGCTGTACTACTTCATGTTCTTTGGATTTAGATCAGCTCATCAACGTTTGTTTTTTTTTCTTTCGTCAGTTTTTAAATATAATCCTCGGCCATCACTGGAAGGATTCATATTTGAAATGTGCAAGTTTCACTTTTAGGATGATATGGCCTTGAATTTGTAGCTTTATCTTAAAATATAAAAAATGCAACATTTTCTAAATGAATATATTTCAAAGACCTAAATGCTAGGTAAAACAAATCTATTCATAAAAATAAATTATAGATTCCAAAGTCAACTTATTCTGAAGATATTGTCAAACCACGATTATTTTGAGCATTTTTCGGACCTAAAAGCTTTAGAAAAACCTTTGCTGCAACCTACTAATTAGTTAGTCTGAAACCAAAAGGTGCCAAGGTTAATAGAAACAAACATTTTCTAGATCCGAAATGGCGACCAAAGTAAATTATGCTAGCAAATGTTACAAATTAATAAATAACCATTCAACCAGTCCTTTAAAACTTTTTCTGTACCTATCACAGCTGTGGTAGAATGTCTTACAACACTAGTCTGAAATTTCAATCAATCAGCAAAAAGTCACTAAAATATAGGAAAACACTATTTTTTGTCATGATGTTCTGAAAAATCTCCCATCTACTTCGTGAATTGTGTGATGTAACTTTATAAACGAAATGAATTAATTCAAAACGATTTTGTTCGATATATTTTATTTCTAACGTATTTCCATCGGGATCTTATAAAAAGCAAAACAGCAAAAGAGACTTGGTTCCTTTTTTTTAAACAAGATGTTTAATCAAAGACTTAATTGACAAATTTTGAAGTCTACTTTATGGTCCAAACATGAATATTTCCTGTAATATTTTCTCCTATGATCGTTTTCATTCTAAAATAAAGGAAATTTGAGTGGGTGGACGAAGCACATTTTCAACATAAAATATCAAGTAATGAAAACCAACTTTAGCAATTGTTTTTCTAAATAGAGGATCCCGAATACGATTACGAGGTGGTCGATTAATATGCTAGCAATAATTGATTATCGCAAACCATAAATTGACCTCAACATTTTTATTTTGTTAACTTTTCTTGTTGGGTTGCATTCTCATTGTCGTTTTCCTACAATATCTTTTAATAACGATTTAAGGATTTAAAAAAGAAGCTTGGAAGAAAAAAATCGACAAAAAATGAGACAGGCTATAACATTAGCAAAATACAAAATATCTGGTCAGAATGGGGTCCTGAAATCAGAGCATTTCTAATATTATATATTTTGGGAAAGAGAAACGTTTGACTTTTTAGGATCGTGTTCTCTTAGTTATTAATCTTGGATCTGCACCTGTAGCATATGTGATGTTGTTATTTTTCAAATCTATTCAGTAAAATAAAACTTTTATTGTTTGTCTTTTTCTTTTGTAACCATGG